CAAGAGGCAAAGCCTGACCCGCACGAGAGGGATTATTTTATCCTGGCTCTCCTTGCAAGAGAATCTCTGTAGCTCAGGGATGAATTGTGGAGGTCCTGGGTGCTCTCTGAGCTGGGGGGTTTTCTTTCCAGATGTTTCATGACCCAGCTAAGTAATGTCATCAGTGTTAGAAGGAAGTGGGGATTGTGGAGAGGAGGAGGAGAGGGGGAGGAGGGCGAGTGTGGGGTCCTTGGTGGTTTTCTTCCAGACATTTCATGACCCAACTACGTACCATGATCATTGTTAGTTAGAAGAGAGAGGGGTTTGCAGGGAGGAGGAGGAGGAGGACAACAACTGTGGGGCCCCTGATGCTCTCTGAGGTTGGTGGTTTTCCTGCAGACATTTCATGACCCAACTAGGGAACATCATCAGTGCTAGAAGGGAGGAGGTAGAGGTGGAGGTGGAGATGGAGGAGGAGGAGGAGGAGAACTGTGGGGTCCCTCATGCTCTCTGAGCTTGGTGGTTTTCCTGCAGACGTTTCATGACCCAACTAGGGAACATCATCAGTGCTAGAAAGGAGTGGCAGGAGGAGGAGGAGAAGGAGGAAGACGATGACTGTGGGGTCCTTCGTGCTCTCTGAGCTGGGTGGTTTTCTTGCAGACATTTCATGACCCAACTAGGGAACATCATTAGGGCTGGAAGGGAGGAGCTGGAGGAGGAGGAGGAGGAGGAGGAGGAGGAGGAGGAGCAGGAGCAGGAGGAGGACGAGAAGGAAGACTGTGGGGTCCTTGGCGCTCTCTGAGCTGGGTGGTTTTCTTGCAGACGTTTCATGACCCAACTAGGGAACATCATCAGTGCCAGAAGGGAGTGTGGGGTTTGCTCCTTGTTGATATGCAGGGACTGCAGCCAACAACAGCCGAATCAAGGAGCTACCAAGAAGAATACAACACTCAAATCAACACTGACGTGGGAAGCCACGTATAAAAACAGAGAGCAAACCCTCCTCCATTCTAGCAGTGAGGATGATGTTCCCTAGTTGGGTCATGAAACGTCTGCAAGAAAGTAGCCAAGCTCAGAGAGCACCCGGGACCCCCACAGTCCTCCTCCTCCTCCTCCACCACCACCA